TTACAGAAACTATATACATGTGGAAGATTATCTCCAGAAAATTAAGAAAGCCCTTTCCTAAAGGTGAATAAAAGGAAGCAAGAGAAAGAAAACTGATGACTGGTATAGCTGAACTTAATAAGTGCTAAACAGTAGCATCCTAGAAGGATATTTATAGAATATTTTGTGTAAGAATTTATATGACCTTTTTTTTTTTTTTTTTTTTTTTGAGATGGAATCTTGCTCAATTGCCCAGGCTGGAGTGCAGTGGTGCAATCTCAGCTCACTGTAAGCTCCATCTCCTGGGTTCACGCCATTCTTCTGCCTCAGCCTCCCAGGCAGCTGGGACTACAGGTGCCTGCCACCACGTCTGGCTATTTTTTTTGTATTTTTAGTAGAGACGGGGTTTCGCTATGTTAGCCAGGATGGTCTCGATCTCCTGACCTTGTGATCCACCCACTTTGGCCTCCCAAAGTGGACCTATTTTTAGACATTCTTCTTCTGGCCCTCAGAAGATCAGAGAAAGCTGGGTGGTAGGGTGTGGTGGGGGGAGAATCTGTATTATTTTGTTTTAGGGTTGTTTGACATTTGAACTTATTAATTAACTCTGATGCCTTCCAGTGCATTCTGCCAACTCACTGGACAATTTCTGTATAAATGAGGTGGGTCAGAAGACAGCATTGAACAAACCATGACCATGGGCCAGCTTATGTTAACTCATTTAAACCTCACCACATCCCTGTGTGGTCAGAATTATCCCAGTTTTATAAATAAGGGAAAAAGGACTCTGAGAGTAAGGAATAACTAGTTGCCCAAAATCTTTTTTTTTTTTTTTTTGAGACGGAGTCTAGCTCTGTTGCCTAAGCTGGAGTGCAGTGGCACAATCTGGGCTCACTGCAACCTCCGCCTCCCGGGTTCAAGCGATTCTCCTGCCTCAGCCTCCCGAATAGTTGGGATTACAGGTGCCCACCACCACGCCCAGCTAATTTTTGTATTTTTTTAGTAGAGATGGGGTTTCACTGTGTTGGCCAGGCTGATCTCAAACTCCTGACCTCATGATCCGCCCACCTCGGCCTCCCAAAGTGCTGGGATTACAAGCACGAGCCACTGCACCCAGTCGAGTTGCCCAAATTCTTGTATGACTCATGAGGGCCATGCTAGGACTCAAGCCCTCATCTCCCCAGCACACTGGACTCGTTTTTTTTGCATGTGGTAGCTGCCAGGGCACATTCTCTTGTCTTGTCTCTCCTCTAGTCTCATAATGGTCCTAAGCTTCCCAAATCATTTTAACTTTGATTCTTTAACCCACTTCCAAATTATAAAAACTGAACTTATTTCACATTTACTTCTTTCAAAGAATCACTCAATATCCTACACTAATCTTTCATAAAATAGATTTTGTGATCAAGTAAGTCTGAGGAATACAGAACTTAGCACAGTTGGCCCTGTGCAGTGGGTCACGCCTGTAATCCCAACAATTTGGGAGGTCAAGGTGGGTTGATCACTTGATGTCAGGAGTTCAAGACCAGCCTGGCCAACATGGTGAGACCCCTATCTCTACTAAAAATACAAAAAATTAGCCAGGCATGGTGTCTGTAATCCCAGCTACTTGGAAGGCTGAGGCAGGAGAATCACTTGAACACGGGAGGTGGAAGTTGCAGTGAGCCAAGATTGCGCCGCTGCACTCCAGTCTGGGCGACAGAGCAAGACTATATCTCAAAAACAAACAAACAAAATAACACAAACACAAACAAAAAAAACAGTACAATTTACCAGTTTTTTTCACAAGCTATTTACTCATGTATTTATTCATCCTTTTATTCTGGTAGAACATCTCGAGGGACTAGTTTTCCACAAAACTACCCATCTTAGTAGTGTGTCATCATGGGCAAATCACTTTACCTCTTTGAGCCTAAGTTTTCCGTTCTACATGTCAGACTAAAGATATTCTAAAGGTCCCTTCAGCTTTAAAACTTCCTTGATATGGGCCCCACCACCATGCCAAATCCAGGCATTTGTGCTACCACTATGAGCTTGCTAAGGATAGCCTAAGATTTTCTGAAAACCATTCATTCATTCATGCATAGAATATTTATTTATTAATTGTCAAGCACTGTGTTAGGTTCTGAAGATAAAAAGACAAGACATAAATAAGACAAATAAGAAACTATCTGCCCTCTGGAGGGGTGACATATATGAACTGATGATTTAAAAAATACATAAGGGAGGAGTAGAAATATGCATAGGTAATACAGACACATGTGAACTGATGATTTTTAAAAATCTCAGTAAGAGAGAAGTAGAAACAGTTACAAGTAATAAAGACTCGTGGAGGAACTGCCTCCCATCTGTGGGAGTTGTGTAAGGCCTAGTTGGAGAGAGAACACCCAATCTGGGTTTTAAGGGATGACACAAAGAAAGAGAAGCTACTCCAGGCAGAGAGTATACAAGAACCAAAGAAAGCACAGGGAGTTTAAGCAGCATCATGTCTGCAGTGATCTACGAGAGTTTGGCATTGCTGGAATATAAAGTTAGAAAGTTCAAGGCAGGTGACGCTGAGCATAACATTGGAGGTGTAGGCAGGGGCCAAATGTTGAGGGCATTCTCTGTCAGATTCTTGAACTTCATCAAAGTGTGTTAGAGATGAAGAGTTGGAGCCGGTGGAAGAATTGAAGCAGAGAAATGACATGTTCACAGCTGCATTTTATACTGTTGTGTGGAAAGTAGATACAAAGATAGATAGGGAGACAAGTGTGGAGACCACTGAAGGTGTTCAGAGGCTAGGTAATGAGTGCCAGGACCAAGAGAATAATGGGAAAGCAGAGAAAGGAATGGATTTGAGAAGTATTTAGTAGGTGTAATCTGCTCAGTCTGGTGATTGATTAGATGAAGAGGGTAAAGGAGAGGCCATCACCTTCTAGTTTGGATGATTAAATATCTGATGTCAGTATAAGAGGAGGTGCTACTTTATGGAGAAAAATGAAGTGATGTGATTGGTTTTGAACCTGCTCAGTGTAAGGTCTCTCTAAGACATTTGCAGATATCTTAAAACTTGGAGTTGTTATACCACAACCCCATTCTGTGCATCAAACTCAAATGGAGGTTTCGTTTTGTGTAGAGGACTCACATTTAAGGACTACTCCATATTGCTATTTATTTGATTTAGGTTGTTGGAATATTGCAAATAAATGGCGATTTTATTTTTAATAAACATGAATATCAATTAAAATCATAAATAATTTCAATGTACTCTTATTCAACCACAGAATTATGAGGCAGGCAATAGTGTTTATACTTAATGGTTTAAGTCTCGTTGTTTTTAAGAGTACAGTCAGCCCAGAGCAAGACTTCATCTCAAAAAAAAAAAAAAAAAAAAAAATTCAGTCATTCGTATCTGTGGATTCTGCATCTGTGAATTCAACAAAAAATTCCACAAAGTTCCAAAAACCAAAGAACTTGTCACAGAATTGATGTGTAGGTATTGTATTAGGTATTAAAAGTAACCTAGAGCCGGGTGCGGTGGCTCACGCCTGTAATCCCAGCACTTTGGGAGGCTGAGGCAGGCGGATCACGAGGTCAGGACATCGAGACCATGCTGGCTAACACAGTGAAACCCCGTCTCTATTAAAAACACAAAAAAATTAGCCAGGCGAGGTGGCGGGTGCCTGTAGTCCCAGCTACTCGGGAGGCTGAGGCAGGAGAACGGCGTGAACCCGGGAGGCGGAGCTTGCAGTGAGCTGAGATCGTACCACTGCACTCCAGCCTGGGCAACAGAGCAAGACTCCGTCTCAAAAAAAAGAAAAAAAAAGAAAAAAAAATTAGCTGGGTGTGGTGGCGGGCGCCTGTTGTCCCAGCTGGCTCGAGAGGCTGAGGCATGACAATCGCTTGAACCTGGGAGGCAGAGCTTGCAGTGAGCCGAGATCGAGCCACTGCACTCCAGCCTGGGAGACAGAGTGAGACTCCGTCTCAAAAATAAATAAATAAATAAAAATAAAAGTAACCTAGAGATGATTAAAGTATACAGGAAGATATGTGTAGGTTATATGCAAATACTATGCCATTTTATATAAGGAACTTGAGCATCAGTGCATTTTGGAATCTGCAGAAGGTCCTGGAACCAATTCCCCATGGACCCCATAGCACTATATGTATTGTTGAAAGAAAATAAACCTATACCCACTCGTGTAGATTTATTTTTTTTTTACTAGTACGATCAAACATAATTTAAAAAGTCTTCTTTTTACCAAATCCTTAACATCTGCGTAGATGAATTTAAAAGATTGTAAATCGGCTGGACTGGGTGGCATGTGCCTATAAGCACTTTGGGAGGCCAAGGTAGGCGGATCACCTGAGGTCAGGAGTTTGAGACCAGCCTGGCCAACATGGTGAAACCTTGTCTCTACTAAAAATACAAAAATTAGCCTGGCGTGGTCATTAGCCTGGCGTGGTGTCAGCACATGCCTGTAGTCCCAGTTACTTGTCCAAGTACTTGGATGGTTGAGGCAGGAGAATCGCTTGAACCCGGGAGGTGGAGGTTGCAGTGTGCCGAGATGGTGCCACTGTACTCCAGCCTGGGCGACAGAGTGAGACTCCGTCTCAAAAAAAAAGAAAAAAAGAAAAAGAGATTGTAAATCTCCTTTTCTGAACTTCATATATGCCAGTTGTTCCAAGTTCTGCAATACCTCAAAGCCAAGAAACTAACTCCTCACTTTCCCAGCTGTCATGGTGAACTGAATCATTTTCTACATGGCTCCTCTCATTTCTTTCTGAAGGCACTATTTAAAGCATTCCAGCTGAATAGATTCTGCAGGATCTTTCTATGGGTTAGGAATATGGTCTGCATAGGAACTGGCCCAAATATTCCTCACTGGAAGTTGGTATCAGCATGAACCAGATCCGGGTGTCTGGGGCTCTATCAGCAAGTAGGTCTACACATACTGGAAGCAGGTGACGGGAATGTTAAAGGAAAAAGGGACTGATGAAAGATGAGAAATAATAAATTCAAGAAAAAAGTCTCTTACCAGGCTCTTGTTGTATTTTGTGGTTGTTTTTAAACCAAGTGATCTGAGGTTCGGGGGCACCATTAGCATGACAGTCTAAAGTGGTGGAACTGCTGATGGCCACTGTGTGGTCGCTGAGGTTTCGCAGGAGGTATGGTGCTTCCTGATCTAATGAAGAAAGAAAGGGAGTTGTGATTACTCGTCAACTTTATTCTCATATTGTCTATGCATATCAACATTTAAAATATACAGAGAAACAGCAAAACTCAACTATTAGGTTTCATTTGCATTTTGTTCACTTTCTCTTCAATCATTAACCTGCTGCTTCCACTTTAATAAGATGCTACAATAAATTGAAATTTATTACAACACAGTGAAATCAAGGACTAGATTTTATATTTTTAGATTTCAATACAAAGGCTTTTGCCTAGCTAGCTAGTTTCCTTCCTTTTTTGAGAGAAGCTTTTCTAAAACTCAAGGATTTTGCGTAATAGTTCAGGAGATATAAATAAAAAACATGATTTTGTGTATAGTCTTGTAATGAATTTTTATATATAGTGTTGTAGTGATAGGCTAATACAATTTTGTGTGTTTTTATTGATGTATTTGTGGGGGCATGTTTGTGTTACTCAGCTGTCAGTAACCTAAGTTGTAAGGCAGCAGACCAAACAGGAGAATTTCTTGAACTTTGAAAGCTTTATTGGTTCTTTCCTTCCTCCATTCCCTTCCCAAATGCAAGCAACCAAAGAATTAATTCAAGAGGCAGAGGCACAGATTTGTAGTTTTTGCACTATATAATAGTACAAATATTGTATTTTATATTATTTTCTTTTAAAACATACAAATATGATACAATACAATTTATTTTAATAAAATGCCAACCAATATAGTACAACAAAATGAATTCAATACATTAAGATGCAATACATTACAACATTAAAATCCCACATAAGAACAGCAGTACCCCCAAGGCCCCCAATGAGTACAGTATATCTCTAATGAAGTAGTCAGTCAGTCCTGCTGATGTGTATACATTCTAGTTAGGAGGGTACTGGATTGGTAGCTAAAGCTTCCAAGGTAAAAAATAAAAACAACTCCTAATATCTTTCCCACCCTCCCAAGTCATTCCTTTCCCCTCTTGTTGGAGATCCTGGAACAGAAATCAAAAGAGTTTTGGCATAACTGACACGTTCTCTGTTACTGTCTTCAATTATACAGTATGAGCTTTCTCTGCCCGTTTTTGATTTCCTCATCTTAGTGTACTAAAACTGTGAAGGCAGCTTAGGAGTGATGACGATGCTACAAAGATGATACATTGCAATGGCCTTGATTCCATGTCCCTGCAGGGTTCTGCCAAGTCCCCAAACCTTTCTGAGTCCTGCAGGGCAACTCTCAGGATTAGCATTTGTTAAAGCAATTTAGAAATCCCAGGTTAAAATGTGTATTATCATATAACTTTTATAACATTGTTGAAGAAGTATATCATGGCAGGGTTACTACCTGTTAGGAGAAACAGATTTCTCAATAAATTCTGATTTCTATAGCTTATCATTAGTCTTCTCATTTTGTAAAAAATGAAATCTGAAGGCCAAAAAAGTGTGTTGAAGGAAGTGCTCTGATGTATAGAAACGTCTTCAAACTAGCGTGGAATGAATGATAGCAATGATCCTTTTGCCTCTTTGAGCATGTCTTTCCTATCTTGTCTTGCCCCCTACGCAGAACCATTACAATATTTTTGTTTTTACATTGGGTGCTATCTGTCAAACAGCTTTTCCTAATTGAAACTGCAGTCCTGTTTAAAACCTTTGATTTATGACTACTTGTACATGCTTGCTCATTACAATTTTGGCATTTTTTTTTGCATAGTAAAGACCCCAAACATATCAGCGAAACATGACAAGACCATAAAGAACCGTATCATATTATTTTTTAGTCTCTTTTACGGTGGCAAGCCAATTTTGAAATATCTTATTTAAAACTCAGACCCAATTCACTGAGTTATACTTTTAATAGCTTCCTCAGCACACTATTTCCCATGCATTAATATGATAAAATAATCTATCACTGCCCATAGGTCTTATAAAAAGGAAGTCTGAATATAGGGCCCACAACACTAAAATAGTTTTTCTAGCTACAAAGTATAACATCATCAACACAGACACGATTTGGACTCCCTGACAGGTAGATTGGAAAACGATGTTTAAAGAGAAGAGAACATTTTAACATAAATGTCATTAAGAATTTCAAAGGCCTTATTTGTACTACACAAACTTCAGATGATAGAAGCAGCAAAAAGGCTGCAGAATGTACATGGGACTCTCAATTAAATACAAGGTTCACATAAACATTCTGAAATGTACAGTAATATGCATTTTTCTTTGTACCCATTTCTGAAAAATGTTCTATGTTAAAAGTCTCATTTTTGGATAGTTTCTAAATGATCAATCAACCCAGGAATCATATTTTGTCAATTCTTACTTTATACATTATATATAATCTATTTTGACGTTTTGAATAAGGCTGGTGCGTTGAACCCATATTTCAAAACCTAAGTTACTTAATGGAAGTAGGTAGTGGCTTTCCAAAGTTTAACAGTGTAGCTGATCCCTTCAAACTGAGAAAATCAGAATTAACAGACATTTGTGCTGGTTATCAGTAGCCAAAGATAGCTGCCCACCAGGTTATTTTACTTTACAGTGTTAGGGCCCCAGAGATCTGCCAGGTCACATAAATATACAGCTTCTATCCTCCGTTTGGAATGGGGACTGAGGAACCAGCCTCACACCCCCTATTCCATTTCAATTATTCCCCATTTTAGGCTCCTTTTTTCTTCTTCCCCCCACCCCTTCTGTTATCTTCACCTCCCTTCATACCCCAGGTTAACATACCCCTAGGGTATGTAATAAAAAACAAAACCCACCCAAAAGTTTCTTTTAAAAAAAAAAAAAGACTCTCCAGAAGGATTAATTACACAGTGAACAACTACCACTCTCTGGAATTCTTCTACTCATCTCTTGGAAGTTCTTAAAATCATCTTTTGTAAATACTAACATCCTCCCCTCCCCACAAAAATTGCAACAGGGGGAAGGAAATGGTAGGTTTTGCATGTCCAATTCACCATTTTGGTTTCATAAGGATCCCTCAATCATCCTATTTGCTTTTTTAATGTTAGCAGCTATTAAGGCCCCCGCGTTCTATGGTATTAAGGCATTGTTTCCTGAAGGAACACACTAACTTATAATGAACAAAGACGCCAGGCCAAAGAGCCATAGGTAAAATTTCAAGATACAATTGATTTTTCTTTCCTTTGGGCTGACAACTTCCAGGTTACTAATTGTTTTCAGAGCATTTGGGGCTCCATAAAACTGGCATTCTGGGGAAATGCTATTGTTTACTCTTTCACGTTTGACAAAAGCAATTCCCACGTGAAAGACAAGTTTAGCCGTGGGACAGAGTCTGTTACCTAAAGGAGGAAACAGTCTGGTGAGTTCCCAAGCTTGAGAAGTTGTCATATTGTCACCTCCTATTGAACTGTCCAGCCACTGTGTTTCTCAGCCATGGCTATTTTGGTCATTATAGTTTTTGTTTTTTTTTTTAAATAGTTTATGCAAGTCACATATAATGATCAATCATAAATAAAAACAACAGAACAATGCATATTAAATTGGTGAAAAAGTCATTTTCCCTCAAATGCAAGCTTAAAACAGGAAATTACAACTTCTCTTGATTTAAAACTGGTGTGTTTTTTAAAAATTACTTTGAATTCTGCTTCTACAGTTTTGTCGTTTCTTAATCCCCATAAAAATCCTATTAACATTTGCATATGGGGAAAGTGGACCTTTTTAATGGGCAAATTTTAAATTTACATTTAGAAGAATGCATTAATTCTCTGGTTGCAATAGCCTTTATTTCCTTGATAAATTGATTGTGGTACACCTTTGAATTACTGTCACTTTAACATGATAGAGTTCCTTAACATAATAACCAGAGGACAGGAATATTTAAAATTAAGGCATGATCCACTTTCTTTCAGGTGCCATCAATAGCTGTGCAGTGCAGTCAGAGACAGCAAGGAGCAAACCCTTTGCTAGGCTAGTCTACTGTGTCACTAACTGCATAATTACCTGGATCGCACGAAAGGAGGGAGGGGAAGTTGATTTGGATGGACTCTTATAATTCACGCTGCGATAAACCTTTACTATCTCTGAATTACACCAACATCTTGCACCCCTGGGGCCCATTTTAGAAGCTCCGGTTCAAGATTAATGTGCTTAATGTAAAAAAAAAAAAAAAAAAAAAAGCATTTTCAAATAAATAAGCATTATAACTTGCTATCCAGGTGCTATTTACAAATCAAGAGCAGATGAAATAGTCCAAAATAAAATCAGGCAGAAGTCCAACAGAGTCTCAAATTCAACTGTACTCATTCTGAGCTGGAAAATTAACTTATTCGTGTCCATCTTTGGCAGAAACCAGCATTTGTTTAAATTATTCAGTTTGTGCAGCTTCAACACTTAAAAATAAAAAGAGGTTGGCATCAAAATGGAAGGAAAGGATCATCCAAAGTTGTTGTTTATCAGGCAGGAGAAAACAGCAAGAGCAACAAACACAGAGAAGGCAGTGCAGGGATCCTCCAAATCCAAACGTGCACCAAGTCGGCCCCCCGGAGCAGCCCCCTTGGCCTGAATGGGGGGCCCAGGGCTGGGGGCTGGGGGTCTCATTATTACTGCTATCATCTCCGAACTCATTTTGGGAGGAGCATCTCCTCTGAGCCTGAAAGTTAGCAACAGTGACAATAAATCAAGATGATATGAGACAACTGTTACTTTTTAATGAGTCCTTTAATGTTTTACATTACTTTGTGTGGTACAATCATTCCTTGTGCTTTTAAATTTGGAGATCCGAGAGAAAACAGCCTTTTTGTTGCAGTGCTCACCTCTGATTGTAACTTCTTTCTTCTGCAGGATTTCTTCCCCTGTGTATACATTCCTGGCTCTGCAGGCATAGGTGCCTGAATCTTCCAGGGAAACATTCATGATGGTAAGATTAAGAGTGATGGAGTGCTCCTTAGTGATGGCCATTTTTTGCTTGCTAATACTGTAGTGCATTGTTCTGTTATTAACTGTCCGCAGTAAAATCCAAGTAACATCTCTGTATAAGAACTTGTTAACTGTGCAAGACAGTTTCAGGTCCTCTCCTTCTGTCGGCATTTTTTCCAAGTTAACGTGAAACCCATTTGGCACATCTATAAAATAAGAATAAAGAATTTCAGTTCACAGAAAAATCAGTGTCTTTTAATGAGATATTCAAAGATCTTAAGAATCATTTGTGCACAAATTCTCTCAGCATCAGCATTAAAAAGAATGAGTATTTAAGGTAAATGAGCAAACATAGCAGGTGGGAATCAACTAAGTTCATTCTATCAGAAGTGAGGTAGGAAATGCAAAAGAGGAGAGTTATTAGGATGCATTTTCTCTTGATTTACCTGAAGTTACTCTTCAAAGTGGCATGTTTTTTCCAACTTGGGTGTTAACTTTATTTCTTTTTTTTTTTTTTTTGAGTCAGAGTCTCGCTTTGTTGCCCAGGCTGTTGTGCTGTGGCACGATCTCAGCTCACTGCAACCTCTACCTTCAGGGTTCAAACTATTCTCCTGCCTCAATCCAGGGTAGCTGGGATTACAGGCATGCACCACCATACTGGGCTAATTTTTGTACTTTTTGGTAGGGGCGAGGTTTCACCGTGTTGGCCAGGCTGATCTCGAATTCCTGGCCTCAGGTGATCCATTCTTCTCAGCCTCCCAAAGTGCTGGGATTATAGGAATAAGCCACTGTGCCCGACCTCATTTCCTATTTTTAAAATGATGCACAGTACTACTACTGGCAAGTGACACTGGCAAGTGGGCAAAATAGTGAAGTAACATAAGAGCAATTCGTCCTAAAAACCAAAGGCACACTTATGGTCAAACTTATCCAAAATAGTTTGCAAACCAGTGAAAATAGGAAGTCCTAGGTAAAGTGCCAATCAATTCCACTTTAGCCCTAGACTTTTGCAGTGAGAAGTAACTGTTATTCACTACCCTCCTCCTGCTCCTGTCCCAGATTACTTGCCCTGGTCCAGCAAAGACCACAGTGGGCCAGTGGCACAGTGGGCCAGAGAGGAGCCCGCTGATTTACTCAGGACTTCTTTCATGGGGATGGTTCTACTCAGACCTAAGAGAGCAAAGATTTCTTCTGAAAATGTGGACAACTAATCTGGAAGAGTTGCCAGATTCTAAAATGGGGGTGATAGAGGGGTAAAGAGAATAATTTTAAAAATCAAATTTACTCTCAAAAATATTTTAAACATGTTCTGAAGGTGGCTATATCATTAAAAGCCATTTTCTCCAATGTCGATCTCCAGCTAATCTTTGTGAAAGGAAAGTAAGTCTTGGGACCCCAAAATCATGAAGCTAAAGGGAAAAGTCAAGTTGAGAACTGCTTAGCACAAACTTGCCTCCCATTCTCTTCAAAGTCATCCCTCTGCTCTCTGAGATAAATGCATACCTGATTGCCTCCTTTGGAAAGGCTAATCAGAAATTCAAAAGAACAGAACTCCCCTATCTATGACCTGGAAACCCCCTCCCCACTTTGAATTGTCCCGCCTTTCCAGGCGGAACCAGTGTACATCTTACACATATTGATTGACGTCTCATGTCTCCTTGAAATGTATAAAACTGAGCTGTACCTCAATTGCCACCTTGGGCACATGTTGTCAGGAGCTCCTGAGGCTGTCCACTTTGGCAAAATAAACTTCCTAAATTGACTGAGACCTGTCTCAGATATTTTGGGCACCTTCACCCCCATCTCCCAGGTGTCTCTGTCAACACCCCATGAGCTCTTCCCCCCTGCATGCCTCACCTGGGCTGTCAGTCCACTTTGGGGCTGAGAGTTCCTTAGTATCATTTGGCCAATCTCACGGGAGGATTTTAAAAAGTCTGCCGGCCCTGAACTGACCCGCTCTCAAAACCTTCCCATTGCTTACTACTAGTGGTGTATCTGCATTTGAGCAAAGAATTTGGGCCAACATCTTACAAAGTGCTTTGAAGATGAAAAGCATTATGTTATGCTATTATTATTATTATACTTTGCACACAAAGCTATAAAGAAACCTTTAAACGTTAAGGGGACAATAGTCCAAAATTAGATATCATATCAACTCTTTCCTAAATCTCACTTTGCTTGTTTTTCTGATTTTTCTGAGCTTTGGCTTTATTATAAAGTGTCACGTCTGAAGAAATGCCAAAGTATTCATTTGGAACCTGGGAGCGGGGCGTAACAGTGACTTACGAAGCCGTCAGTGGCTGAGGAGAGAGGATACCAGTGGAGGTTTTCCTGCTTTTAAAATGAAAATCTAAGAATGTGCCAGAAGATGCAGGAGGGGCAGCTGACAGTCACTTTTAAGATAACAATAAGGTGTCAGAAATAGTTGCTCTAATTCAGCATCTTTTTATATTTGGGACATTTTCCAAGCATGAGGAGTAAAACATCAGCCATCAACTTTTACACAGATACTAGAGCAGAGGTATTGTGCACTGGTTGCCATCAGCTCTTACAAGACCACAGACTTTCCATTTATGAGCTCTCATCCTGGTAGGTAGAACCCAAGTGAGCCCAAGTAACACCATTGAGATCGTGTAGAGAGTTTCTATTTACTTTAGTGATTTGAAACTTCCTGTGGAAATAGCTCACAGGTTTCCTGATGGAAGATTTTGTTTATCTTTGCCAAGCACCACCAGGAATCTCAAAATAAAACGCATTCAGTGACATTGGGAAGCCAGGGAGATAAAGCAGTGCTGTTCCTGTTTCACCCTCAGTAATTGCTAACACACCCATAGTCATGCTGAGTGCCAGCCAAACAGCAAAAACACACACATAGGAAAAGCAAAGAACCAAATTCGTTTTGAGGCCCGTTTCTTATATAGGGGACATGGTCACTGAAGCTAATTTGTTATGTTATCAGACAGCCTCTTGGAAATGACTATTTCTCAGTCTCACCCCTTTGGTATTCTCTTTTGATCCATGGAAGACGATAAATAAAATGTCCTCAACTGTTTAATGAACCCGGAGGGATTTTTCTCCTTAATTCATGTTGATTTTTTTTTAGTCTGAGTACAAAAACAGACCAAGAAAGAATTGCCTTCTAACCCTCAAAGTGAAAACAAGAAATCTTCCCACACTTAAGTATCTGTGGCGAATTCAGCACAGTCATCATCATTACCAAATAATACTCATCCATCTAACATATTATCACATCCATGGCATCTTATGAGGTGTCATGGAGAAGAATCAACCCTTGCTCAGAAGAGGCATTCGACCCAGGGTTAGATGACAGTGTAATCTATTTATAAAGGTGCATACTTGGGGGTAGATATTTCGACTCAATTGGATCAGGCATGTGCATTAAGTTCATGAAAGGGACAAGCATAGGAATTTAAAAGGATGCCAGGGATCTCATTTGTTGGGTAAAAAAATAAAGAAGGCTCTACTGCCACTGAAGAGTGGAAATAACATTATTTAAAAAGAGAGTGAACGGTTACCAGGAAGCTTTGCTTGTTTCAAGTGGATGCTATGTATAAGTGTGTGCCAAAGTTTGGAGTCGAAGCGGTCAAGGATTCTAATGGCCACAGTTTACCATTTTCATCAGTTTGGAAGGCAACTACAAGTCTTTTTGTTTTTTGTTTTTGTTGTTGCTGCTGCTGTTGTTTTGCGGCAGGGTCTGACTCTGACACTCAGGCTGGAGCGTGGTGGTGCCATCATGGCTCACTGCAGCCTCGACCTCCTGGGCTTAAGTGATCTTCCCACCTCAGCATCCCAAGTAGGTGGGAATACGGGCACATGCCACCAGGCCTAGCTAGTTTTTGTACTTTTTGTAGAGACAGAATTTTGCCATGTTTCTCAGGCTGGTCTCAAACTCTTGTGTTCAAGCGATCTTTCCATCTCAGCCTTCCAAAGTGCTGGGATTTACAGGCGTAAGCCATTATGCCTGGCCCCAAGTAATTGTATTTTAAAGAAGGGACAACATGATTGAAATGAGGACCAGTAAAGATCCAAATCTAGAGAAGTAGAGCATTAAAATTTCAGACAGGCACTTTTAAAGCATTACCCTCACTGAGTCAAGTATAAACACTGAACAAATATATGTTCATTTTTTTCAAAAAATAGGCATATGAGGTACAACATTCCTGAGTCTTTATGCTCATCTCTAGTGACAAAGATTTCAGTAAGAAAAAGATAATAATTATTTAAAAACTAATAATGAATGTAAGCAAGTTAACCTAATATCACAATCAAAACTGAACTTTTCAGGACTGGTAGAAAAAGATTAAGGGAAAGTATATTCCAGGCAATGAGGGCTTGGTTGGCTGAACTTGTGTCAGTTTTAAGATTAAAGCTCTTGGATTTCTAGAGGAAAAGAACTGTGAGCTTCAAGTAGGTATGTCTGAATTGAATTCTCATTGTTCTTTTGGACCCTGTCCAATATGGATAAGCCTTGGGATCTAGAAAAGGTTTCTACCCCGCCATGGTTATACATTGTACAATATGGTGAGAGGTAGGAGGGAATTTCCGCCTGAATTCAGCAGGTGATCACCTTTATCAACTTGGACTCTTTCAGCAACAACACCATGGGTAGAAATATGATGCAGCGATGAGACTCTGGGCTAGCCAGATGTTGGTGCTGTGACTAATGCTAGGCATCGGTTAGCTTTCCTTGGGAACACTGATTAATAAGGAAGTGAGCATGATGTTCCCTCTTCTCTTGGTACATCCTCTTCCAGTACTGCCCTCAGACCCAGGCAAGAAGGGTCCCTGTGGCAGCTCTGTTCTGGTCATAGCTCTTCCCACAATGTGAAGAGTTTATGGGGCCAAGTGAGCATGCCTACCCACAGCCTGTGTCACTTCATTCCTGTATCATGCTCCAGGTCCCTGGGATCTCAGAATTCCCTAAAAGGCTGATTGAAATCTGCTTCTAGCTTGGCTCTTCTTCCCTAGGTCCGGCCTCCTGAGCTCAGACTGCTTGTCAGTTTTCACACCTTTGGGTCTGTGCAAGCAGTGGCCAAGGGAAACTGTCTGTGAGGGACATGGGCAGAGCTCAGATGTGTGGGCTGGGAGACACCACACATGGTGCATGGCCCCTTGCAGTGTGGACAGGGTAAGGGGCGCAGAGGGGAGGTGGATGATTTAGTTTTTCTGCACCGCCAGGTGCTGCCACAATCTAGTCTGGAATCTGAGTAGTCTCAGAGCTCTAAATTGATCCTGACCTCTCAGGTCATCATGAAAGTATATTTGTCCATAGGGGGCTAAAACATATTTAATGGCTTATTTGCTTGATGTAGAACTTGTCAGTAGTCAGACATATGGTTTGTGGGCCTCTACTGGTACTCTTGTCTTGACTCTGAAAATGTCAGGGCAAGCCTGTTCTCTTATCTCCATCTATTCAAATCCCACCTTCTCTCTACCTATTCAGGTCCTGCTTCCTTCTCAGAGGCTTACAGCTGCACTGTCCAATATGGTACCTGTGAGCCTCATGTGGCTTTTGAGCACTTGAAATGTGGCTACTGTGTCAGAGGAACTGAAGCATATTCAGTTTATTTGATTTTATTTAAATTGATTTAAGTGTAAAAACTGAAGCAGTGTAGTATTTTTAAAAATACTGATTACATATTGAAATCACAATAGTTCGGATATATTGGGTTCAATAAAATTAATTTTACTTTACAAAAAACATGGTTACTAGAAAGTTTTAAATGGTATTTGTGACTTATATCTCTATTGGACAGTGGTGGCTTTAGAAAGCAAGCTCATCTGTCACATGACCTCTGCATATAAATTTTGATACTAGGATGTATGTAATTTAACATTTCTTCTTTGTTTCCTTGGTGTTAGAACTGTGTTCCTAGAAAGACAGGACTTCATTGGTGCGCCTCCCAGTGCTCAGTAGAGTTGAACTGTACCATTTAACAGTGCTCATTAAACTGTTACAAAGTTACTGAATGTTCAGAACAAAACAGGAATTGTTCAGTCTTTTGTATTCTAAATCAGACATACTCTGACTATGGGTTGAGATAGTAACTTGTTTCCAACCAAATATAAAGGACAGTGCAAACCTTTGTATTTAGTCCAAATCTTCTGAGTTTTATTAGAGCACCAATCTGTGTGAAATCTCCATCTGAATCCTTCTCTAACTAAAGGCCATGTCCTATTTGGAATGGATGCAAAGATGACTTCTCTTCCACTTCTCTAACATAAGAGACAGGGACTGAGTTGGCCTAGAGCAGCTCTGCTATGCACCTCTCCAAATCCCATTTGCTCATCTGGAAAACACAAGAGCTATGATGCAGAACAGCCTCTGGAATCCCTGCCAGCCCTGATGTTCCATGAGAATCTACTCAGGGATATCTCCCATGGCACAGCTTCTCTGGGGCTTGGTTAACTTGCCAGAGGCTCCTGTGATCTGACAACGCATATGTATCATGGAATTGGACCTGTCTATTTCTTTCTGGAGACCTTCTGGCAATTTCTGCAGCCTGCCCCGTTCAGTAAGAAGTTTCCAGAAAGTTGGCCTACTGCCCATGTTTCCTCAGAAATTGGGGGAGTGTGGAGCCAGGCAATTGTTTTTATACTTTGAGCTACTTACTTCCTTCCTGTACCCATTGAGGGACATAGGGAGTGCCATTTGTGTACCTTGGAGGTTTTTAAGATTTGCAGAGACCATCATATTTAAGGCTAAAAATTCTTAAATGCTATCAAAAAATAGCACATTAACTATTGTTAATAAAGCTCAGTTTCAGATTGCTATAGAGCCTTATTCCCCAAAAAGTCTAAATTACCTAAGTTGTGAAATAATTAACTTTTTGGTTAAAACAAAAACAAAACCAAAAACGGTGTCATCATATTATATGCATTATAACTGGTTTCCTTGATTGGTATTGAACTGCTATGTACCAGACCCTGTGTTAGGTACTGAAGGGAATGAAAAAATGAGCATACAGATTCCCAATTCACAATCCAGTCTGGGAGGGAGACAAACACAAATAACTCTAAAAGAAAATTCGGGGAAATAACTCTTTAGCAGATCCGATGAGGTAGAATTCTATTCCTGAGAGCAAGGATGAAGGCACTCAAAGTTTGACAATTGTGTGGAATTAAAAAAAATCACTCAAGCTATAAATGCACTAAAAGCAAACAAGACTGAAGAGAGACTGAAGTCACCAGGCTGTCTCTGGGTATAGGATGTGTGGCTTACCTGTGATATAAAAGCTTATGTTTCTTCCCACCGTCCCAACTTTATTGGAAGCTATGCAACTGTAGATTCCAGAAATTCTAGAGTCAGCCACAACCAAGGTGCTAGCCGTCTGCAAAAGAAAAGGAAACTTTAGCTAGCAATAGGACAAATAACTAATTGAACACCCCAAGCTACTTCTGAGGTTGAAATGATTCAGCTATTCCATTCATTCTGTAAAGAGAGTATTGCATAGGTGGTGGTTACCAGAAGGCTCTCCTCTTGCCGAGCCCCAACAAGAATGGAAAAATAACAGGAAAGCAGGTCCTCAGGAGACCGGGGCCTATGACATCCGACTCATATGAGGGTTTCAGGCTTATTTATCTCGTGCTGCTGGTCTAACAATTACAGACCTGAAGCTGAGATGTGGGACTGCACGTCCTACCCTACGAGGTGGTCAGTCCCACATCAATGAGAGGAACAGGTGAGGCTGAGGCCTTCCCTTTTGTTTGGGTGACCTGAGAGCATGGATGCCAGTTGTGACAGGAGCTTTCTCTGCTATTTGGTTCTATAACAAGAATGTTAAGTGAGCAAGTATAGAAGAGAATGTTTGGTTGAAACTTTATTTTTTCTTTAAGAAATGGGGTCTTGCTATGTTGCCCAGGCTGGTCTTGAACTTCTCGGCTCAAGCAGTTTTCCCGCCTTAGTCTCCCAAGTAGCTGGGACAACAGGCACATGTCACTGCACCTGGCTTGAAACATTTTTTTATATGCTCAAATAATGTGGCGTGCAGCAATGGATGGTCCTGAAGGAGGCCGTGTGTGTGTGTGTGTGTGTGTAAATTACCTAATTTCTCAGTTGTCTCTATTCCTAATCTAGAAGATGAAAAATTAAACTATGAATTAATCGGCCGGGCGCGGTGGCTCACTCCTGTAATCCTAGCACTTTGGGAGGCCAAGGCGGGCGGATCATGAGGTCAGGAGATCGAGACCATCCTGGCTAACACGGTGAAACCCTGTCTCTACCAAAACATAAAAAAAATTAGCCAGGCGAGGTGGCGGGCGCCTATAGTCCCAGTTACTCAGGAGGCTGAGGCAGGAGAATGGCGTGAACCCGGGAGGCGGAGCTTGCAGTGAGCCAAGATTGCGCCACTGCACTTCAGCCTGGGCGACAGAGTGAGACTCCGTCTCAAAAAAAAAAAAAAAAAATTATGAATTAATACAATAATATTGTTCCACTAGACTTTAGTGCTGTTATTTGACAACTTAGTCCCTAAAGAAATATTAGCAGTCAAAATTGCATGAACTTGAAAGCACTTTTCAAACTGTGATGTCTAAAAAGTAATGAAACAAAATAATGAAACAAAATTTTAGACAACTTAAAGACTTGCAGTCTTCCAAAGAAAAAAAGTTGGCAATATGAAACAAATTGTTAAACATTCTTAAATTTAACCCAAGCTTGCATTAAAAAGTAGTGTATAATCTACATGAAAAAAATGAGAAAACTAGTTAGTTTCTCATACTTAAAATTACAGAAAGGAAAAGTTGGTCCAGTTACTTATAAATCTTTGCAGCCTGTCTCCTAGGACAAAAATAACTGGTTATGGGCTTCGAAATTGCAGAGGCTGTGCTAATGCTTCCAGACTAACGGAGTGTCCTAGCTGAAGTATAATGACCAAGTGACTTACAGGCTAAAGCAATGTAAGGCTGAAATGTGACAGCTGACTTTCCAAGGTGGTGGACATATTCCACAAGTGGTTTGGCTGTAGGAGACAGTCCTAACATTTTCTGAGTTTCTAAGTAATGTGCTAGGCACTTTAGTTGTGTTCTCTTATTCCATCTAATAAATTAAGGTATTTCTGTCTTTAATCTACAGATCAGGAAGACTTAAAAACATGTTCCTAATGTTTTTAGCCAGCAAATTCATTGGTCCAAATTCTCTACAATTTTCACTGTGGTATGGTGAGTAGTACACAGTGCTTTCTCTTCTGTTTGATGGAAGGATCTGCTTAATTACACCTACCCATATATTCTCTGTGTATTATTGAAATTATTGATAATGAAAGTGTCTGCAATATGTGGCAGACAATTTAGCAGACATTTATTGAGTGATTATCAAGGCATTGCCCAGATGTTGTAAGGGAGACAGAGATGAATATGACACAATCCCTCCCCTTAACACTATCATTCTTTAAGGTGATAGAAAGGAATTTCCCTCCTTGAAGATCATACAAAAATTATTCTCTCTTTTGCAAGGAAAGCTCATACGAAGGCAAATAACCCACAGAAAAGAGTATGAAAGAGAGCTCAGGTGTCCCTTTCTTATTTTGACGATGAATCTTTGTAAGAGGTGGGACATAAAAAATTCTGAATAGCCATTTCCTTGTAATTGTTGTTCCCACCAGTTTAGAGTCATGGAAGGAAATGGAAGTAGTTCGAAGAGAAGCTTGTAGGTGGCAACATGAGAAAACTGTTAGCTGGTGGAAGCTGGAAGACAGGAGAGATCGTCAAATATGACTCTGACTCCCTTATGTTGTCTCAGGAAGCTTAGATGCTTCAAAGCAGTTTGCAAAAACTTCAGAAACAAGGAGCTCAGATGAAGCCTTCTTAAGCTGGGGTGTCAGCTCCAGGACTGTTTTTCTTATGAACTTAGTTCTCAAGTGTTTATCCTAATGGGCCTCAGGAGAAACTTACTTAGATTCTCAGATTAATCGTTGCTCAGTAAATAAGTGAAAAACCCATTTCTGTTGGCTTGAGAGTGTTTGAAATTATAGACAACATTTACCTGCCTCTATGAGTTGTGTTTGGGTTTTTATTTAAAAGATTTTGATTTCATTGAACTTAGAGCAACTGATAACAAGAACTGGGTTTTGTGGCAAGGGAAAATCAATTCAGATGTATACATTTGCCACGTTTAAGACCTGTGCAGGTAACCTGGGAACGGCCGTGGCCATTTTACAAGTCTCCAACAAACAGTCAAATAGGTCTAAATTTATGTATAATCAGAGAATAAAATTGAGGTGCTCCGAAGTGAAATGAATCCAGGTCACAGGATGGAGACAGAAATGTATTTGAATTTTTCTCACTTTGTGTGAATGACACCTTCCAAAACAAGACATATTACTCGTAGTCAAGCCTGCCCCAGAAATCATGTCTACAGAGCTTCTATTAAAATAGAAGCAGAAAACAACGTTGATGGGAGTTTACATTATTTCTTTGTTTCTGCATACCTTTATGTATCCCTTACAATGCACCAGGCAGCATGCAAGGCACTTTACAGGAATTGTCTCATTTAATCCTCCCTAAAACCCTGTGAGATGGGTATATTATGCTATTCTACAGGTAAGACAACTGAGGTTCCGAGAGATTAAATGATTCACCCAAAGATACAAAGGACCACAGACAGGCCTGGGCAGAATTTATGCTCAGGTGTGTCTGCCTCCAGTGCCTATGCTCTTAATCTCTATACCAAATTGCTTCTCGTCTTGAGACTCTTTAAATTGAATAACACAGATCAATTGGCAAAGTTCTGTCTACACCTTGGATTGAATTTTTCCTTGAGAATACTTCCTTTAATCAGCAGAGATGGGTAACATAAATTAAATACTACTACTATTTACAGAAATATTAGTTTGCTTCTTTGATGACATTTTACATAAGCGGCAAGCTGCTTTTCAACTGTTGTGTTGTTATGTGGTTTGAAAATATATTTGATAAGTACAATGGTTATCATTAAAGAAGAAAAGTTAAAAATAAGATGAAACATATTCTATTATCAGTTTTACTAAAATTTATCTCATTTCTAGAGTACTTCTCTTTCAGAGGATATATTTTTAAATTATAAATTCAAACATTTTCTCATTACAAATAAAATTGTTTGACAATTAAAGTTTAAACTTTATAGGGTCAGAGAAAGGAGCTCAAGTGTGAATTGTAGCTCAGTGTAGTCTGGCTGGACTAGAAGGCAGCTTCGCATGGGACAGTGAGTTTCAATGTCTGAGTCTTCTGAATAAAGGAAAAGATCTCTTCCTCAGTGCTTATATCCAAATACTATAGTGTCAAGGGAAAAAAATGAAAATAGCATCACAATTGGGGCATGCAATATCAACTAAATACTTTCAAAGAGAAAGTAACCAAGAATTTGAGTTGCATGTTTGAAATTATGATCATTTATTCTATAAGGTATGCCAAAATAAATTCTTAAGGATATTTACTTGTATTAGTTCTATAATTAGTTTTCATTTTCCGCAATTGAAAATAATTGAAAGAGGACTGAGGAAGAGAAAAAAGCAGAAGTGCTGAAATGAAATTAGGCTATCAGGCTGGATACGGCGGCTCAGGCCTATAATCCCAGCACTTTGGAAGGCTGAGGCTGGCGGATCACCTGAGGTCGGGAGTTCAAGATCAGCCTGGCCAACATGGCGAAACCCTGTCTCTACTATAAATACAAAAAGTAGCTGGGCCTGGTGTAGTCCCAGGAGCCTGTAGTCCCAGCTACTTGGGAGGCTGAGGCAGGAGAATCGCTTGAACATGGGAAGTGGGGGGTGCAATGAGCCGAGATCGTGCCAAAATAAATAAATAAATAAATAAAATTAGAATATCAAAGTTTCTATTAGTCTTAAAGGACTCGTGCTCTCTACTCTTCGTTTTTACTACATTTGCTTTTCGGGGTGCTTCCAGTGCCTGGCCTGGCCCTCAAGGATTTACATGTTAGAGATAGATCCTTCAAGCCCATTCTCCGGGCTCTTTGGTATGGCCCAGGAATGCTCATAAAACTATCAGCAAGTACTGTAAGTTTGGAGTTTTTCATGCTCCTTCCTTCCTTCCCTTTCATTAAGCATTAGTAATTTGTTACTACAATGTTGTTTGAACCTCACGGAATAGAATGGATGGGGTGATGTGTCATTCAACCTAATTCCAGCACTCGTTTTTTAAAAATCTATATATGGAACACTGATTTTAATCTCGGGATGTTTCTAATATAGCTTCCTTTCAAGTGTTTCACGGAGAAATAAAAGTAGATGTATAAAGGTCATGGAAGAATCTAAAATTAACACAGGGTGGCACATTTGAGCCAACTGATGGGAAAATAGAACGTGAGATTTAGAAAACATTGGGGTGTGTGTGGGAACTG